TAAAATCGATTACACACCAAACGATTGATTATCTAAAGCAATAATAACATTTGAATTATAGATTTGCTTTTTTAAATTTTTTTCTATTTGACGAAATTATTATATTTATTTTCATTTTTTATTTCCTTTAAATAGTATGTGTTAACTGTTCTTCATCGTAGCATATTTGATTATTTTCGAAAGGTTTCAAGCAACACTTTCGATATTGTGGTCTATATAAAATTTCATTATCACACACAAACACATCAGATATTCACAAACACAAACAAATTGAAAATTGAAATAACAATACGATGGTAGCACCGATTTACTGAGTTAAGCGATTTGAAACTGATTTTTACAGTTTTTTCTTATGTTGTGCTGTAACACCCCTGTCCAAGTTTACGGGGATAGAGCGCTCACAAACGTGATTTATCCCGCCACATTCTTAACATACATGTGCCTGTAATTCAGTGGTTCTCATTGGTTCATATCTGTCATGTATATTTTTGGGAATTGTATTGTATAAATCCGGTCAAATGTTTTCTAGCTTTTATTGCTTAATTCACACATTTGGTATCGGGCCTTTTATGGCCGACTATACGATATGGGTTTTTCTCATTGTTGAAGGCCGTACGGTGACCTTCAATTGCTTTTATCTGGATATTAGTTTCATTGGTGGTCATATCATCTCTTAATTTTAATGTGGATAGTATTGGTATTATATCTATCTTGTGAATACTGGATTAAGAAATCAGAACAGGGTGTTAAGATTGGTCATCATCGCGTATAATACGATTTTGACACGCCTACTATGCTGTTGATTATTCATGAATTCATCATGTTCATAGATAAGAACAGCACCAGTAGCATTATAAAGGTAGAGTTGTAGATTTGTAGCGTAAATTTAGACATGTAGTTTTGAATATAATAGAAAAATAATAAAAAATAATTAGAGATATAGTTTTGAATGTTAATAAGCCACGCGAGTAAACAAGGTAAAACACTAATCTATTATGTTGGATTTCAATTGTTTTATTCTTGCTTCATGCAATCACAGTAACATTTTGATTTATTTGGACAGTTATTACAAACTTTTATATCTAGATTAGCGAGTTTTATTTATAATCCGTTGGGCGTTATTATACCTAGAAGCTAGATAAAATTATATGCCACTTTAATATGATAGACAAAACGAAATGCAATTTGCCTCAAATCTTTGCAGAAAAAAACATTATTTTTGACGGTATATAAGTCGGATGATGCATATTGTAAGGTTTTTCTTGTCCTATAACACACATTGGAGTTGCAGGATTGCACAAAGAAAGACGTCTTTATATTTAATATTTCATTTGAACAATCCTCATACCCGTCGGTGTTTTATACGACAAGTAAAACCTTACAATATGCATGGTATTTTTGTTATTTTACTTTTTATCTATAACATATAACCCTACCCCAACATTTATCATTAATAGCCTTAACCCTTTTCCTGACTATAACCCGAAAACCCTTATCCTGACTATAACCGTAACCCTTATTCTGATTATAACCCCAACCCTTATCTTGACTATAACCATAACCTTTATCCTTACTAAAATTCTAACTCTTATCTAGAAAATAACCCTTACCATGACTATAGTCCGAACCCTTATCCAAAACATAGCCCTAACTCTTATCCTGCCAGTATCTTTAAATAAAGGCAACAGTAGAATATCGGTGTTCAAAAGTCATAAATCGACTGAGAGAAAACAAATCCGGGTTACAAACTAAACCCAAGGGAAACACATCAACTATAAGAGGAAAACAAAGGAACAATAGGAACACTGAAGTGCAACAAAAACAAACGACAACATACATAGAAACGAACTATTTGATAACAACTGCCTTATTATTAACTTGGTACAGGACATTTAAAGAAAAAAATAGTGGTTTGAACCTGGTTAAGGCTAGCCAATCATCCCGCTTTTATGACAATGTTGAAAAATATCGCAAAAATGACAACACTTCGTGACAGAAATACAGCACAAACACACGCAATAACACTCATAACAGAGAAACCCAAAAACAAATGATATAATAGTCGACATAACATGCAAACAGCAGAAAAACAACGAACAACTTCAGTCAGCGACAGACACCACAGGACAGTGACGTACTTACGTAACGAACATGCAATCTCGAACTTTATACAATTATTTTCACAATACCAGTCTAAACAATTTTCATGACAATGATGGTATTGAAAGGCAATTTTATAATAATTTGGATTACAAACGATAATACATAACACATTCTTCAACCGAAACCATAACAGAAACATCAAAAATAAATACATGAATGTTGGATGTATAAAATACCGAGACGCGGGGTATAGCAATGCAAATTCATACTCGGTATAACAGTCATATTCGGGAATAGGTCACGTTCGGTACTTAGCAGAGAGATGACATAGATGTTAAACCACAATCTAAATCGTTGTTAAAATGACTTTAGTTAGTTTAGACACAGACACATCGTATAGATCAACCAATTCGTGATGGTGTCCGTAAAATTTACGGAGTGTCATTTTTAAACTTTCCTCTTCATAACTCTGTTGGAGCAGTTTCTGTGTAAGGAGCACACTCCTGTATATGAAGTCAGTATAGTGTGAACATGCACGAGCATAACGTATCAATTGAGATATGTAAGCACCATACGACGGAGCAGATTGTATGGTACTGCTGAGAAATGGGAAATTGATAATTGAGAAGTTGAAATCATCCCGTTTGTCATAGATTTTAGTGTGAAGTCATCCATCTGTGTCAATATTGAGTGAAAGATCAAGGTATGAAGCAGTCTTTCTTGTATCAGTAGTATCCTTAATTTCATATTCACTAGGATATAAGATGCAAATACTGACTCAAATGTGGGTTATTCAGTGATAGGACATCATCAATATATCTGAAAGTAAAATTAAAGAATTTTGCAAGGTGTTTTTTCTTTTTGTCTTTTAGAAGGTTCTGAATGAATTCTGTTTCATACGAGTACAAAAACAAGTCGGCCAGAAGGGGTGCACAATTAGTACACATTGGGATATCGACTTTCTATTGAAATATCAATCCTCCAACTGAACAAATATGTTGTCGATTAAAAAGTCCAGCATTTTGATAATATCATCTTCACTGTATATCCTTACCCTGACTATAGCCCAAAACTCGTTACCCAGAGTATAACCCTAACCAATATCCAAACTGTTACCCTAACACCTACCCTGGCTAAAGCCCCGAACTCGTTACACAGAGTATAATCCTAATCTATATCCAAACTTTAACGCTAATACTTACAATGTCTTTAAACCTTGACCTGAGTATTATTTCAAACGTAATTATCTTTTATATAGTCATATTTATAAATTGACAATTTTCAATTTAGTTTTTTTGCATTTGGAAAAGCATATCTGAATATATTTCTCAACTTAAACAAGAGGCTCCTACGAGTCTGAACCATTCACCTGTCAAAAATTGAAATAATAGGGAAAACTTAACTACAGTTAGGAAAAAAAACGACTTTTAAGTACAATTCCTACTAGAAGGAGTCAGACAATGGTTTATATCATAATGACATTCGTATACGACCTTGTAAATATTGTATACCGATCATTTTGCTATTAACTGTTTCAACTTATCTATTATATTTTTCAAGATTAGAAGCAAATACCCCAACAATAAGTTAAAAACCCTCTTAAAAGGGCAATAACTCTTCTAAAGATTCATCCAATGTTTGAAGACATATTGCAATTCCTATAGGTCTGGTATGATGATTTTTTTTTTTTATGCTTACAGTTTTTATCTAACTATTATAGTATTCAAGCCTTGAGGCAAAAACTCTAAATTTAGTAAAACAAATCGTCATGTAAAGGTTATAACTCCCACAAATTTATACTTGATAACAATTATGGTTTTCAAGATAAAACTTCGTTTAAGGGCAATTATTCCTATAATGATAATTTTGGTGCAAACAAAAAGTAATCAGATGTTGACATATTAATCATTTATGTACTGTCAGATGTTTTCTATTTATTATAGTTTTTGAAGATTTGACAATTAATGCATTTTATCCTTATGTTTCATTTTTTAGTCACGGCGGCCATGTTAATTTACCAACTGAGAAAAACAAACTGATAATGCCATGGCAACCTTTTATTTCATGTTTACTTTGATTGGTATACATTACTTTTTTTAATGAAATGTAAAAATATAATTACAGGAGCTTAAACTGAAGAACCAGAAACAAAAATATATGGCAAACACCATTGCAACTGTAAACGAACCGAACATTTATTGAAAGGTCAACATTCAGTTTTTGTCCAAATGACATGTAAAGCATTACTATCACCAACGTCCTTTTTATATTAATTCAGCAGACATAATGAAGAGCTTCCCAATGAGCGATGAAATGCCCGTCGCTTTTTCAACACATAAAGTTCCACAACTCCTCAATGTCATACCAGAAATTTATAAAAATTTAAGGGAGCTTATCTTGATAGATATAAAAAAGTCATCAAAATTTCATGAAAACTACTCTTAAGCATTTTTGAATTACTGTCCAAAAACAGGAAAACATTTTATGACTAAAATCCCAGAACTCGAATACTGAAAATATAAAATATATAAAAAAAACTTAAGGGAGCTCACGTCAAAAGCTATAAATGATTATGCAAAGATTCATGAAAATTGGTTAAAGCGTTTTTGGGTAATTATCTGACATGTTGATGACAGACGGACAGAAGGACGGATGGATAACGGTATACCTTAATATGTCTCGTAAACTGGCGTATATAAACAAACTGTATGTCGTATCTGAAACTTTTGAAAAAAAAACAAAGGCTTCGACAACAATTGATAATATGCCTGATTTGGAACAAGTACATTTAACTCATTTGTGGAATGATAATCTATTTCAAAAATACATGATATATAATGAAAATAACAATTTTTTTCTCACATATCAGATAATAACAAGAACATCAAAATCTGAAATTTAATCAAATATTCAACAACATATATTTTATTCTCCATCTGCACTTTGAGTTATGAGGTACAACAAATATTATAATACATATTGTATGTACATATGCATAGTTTTGTGAATATAGTACAATTATCTATTAAAAATATAGAGGAGAATTTGATTGGTAACTATTCACCGTTGTTTCTGAGAATTCCACCTAAAAAGCTCTACAAAGCAACTACAACTTCTCAAAGTTTGATGTTTAAAGATAGAAAATTATGCATTTTTATATTTTACACCAATTTATATTTCTTATATGTTTGATGTTATTGAATTCCTTACAAAATATATTATTATTGGGAGCACTGTTTACACACTATTATATATGTTATATTCCAGATATAACTACTCAATTAGAAATTAAAACGTGGCAGTATCAGTTCCTTAGTTTCAGAAATGTCACTGCTATATATCTTAAATATAAATTTGAAGAAAAAAAAACGAAAAAAGTCAGTCCATAAAACATGCAAAAAGAAATGTACGGATCAATAGAGGGTGAGTAAAATCCATAGGGGGTTAGAACAAAGGCCGAATATCCTATGGATTTTACTCACCCTCTATGGTCCGTAGGGGTCAGTTGTGACCCGTATAATGAATTTATCGCACACGCGACTTTTCTTGCTGCCTTTTGTAGAAAAATAAACAATGAAATGCAACAACATTAATAGATGACGTCACCATTAACAGTAGACGTGATGTCATGAACCCCCTATGAAATTTACTAACCCCCTTACGGATCCATAGGGGGTCACCACGTGACGGCGTTTAATCAATTACAACGTCATAATTTACCTGCGGTGCGATAATAATTATTATTTCCTTTGTGAGATAACAACAAAATTGATGTGTAAACTCAATGTTAAGTCCTTCAGTTTTTGAGTGAGTCTTCCTAGTTAAGTCCTTAATAAAGTCTGTTAGAATAGCATTTATCAGCTTGTTACCATTAATTTTTATTGCATAAAATTCCTATTGTCCATTTAAGAGAGGCAAAATATGAAAAAGGGACATTCAAACTCATAATTTAAAAACAAACCGACAATGATAAAACTGATTAAAACTCGTTTTTGTAGGTCAACTTGAAATTGACCTCAAAAGAACATCCGTCTAAAACAAATAAAAAAAACCTCCTTTATTCATTCTATGGGCATGTATGATGAAAAGTAGAGTGATAAATAACAAAAAAATAAACTTTCAATAACATTTTCAAACATGTATACAACACATTTAAGCAAATTACATAAAAATTACGGAAACATACTCAAATTTACAACACCATTATTACATTATACTTATATCATTGATGTTAACTTTTTTCAACTAATTAACATTGTATAAATGGTTATGTCACTGTTGTGCAATCTACAGGTCAACTAAACACAGGGTCCAATTATGTTTTGATTTATTTTTGTTTGCTAGACGTGAATGGAATATTTTGAAATGTATTTGTCAGATGAAGAAGTTATGGGAACTTTATTAACCTTATCATATGCTTTTGATAGATTTCCCGACCTATTCACATATGTTCAAGCTTGAAAAGGTGACCTATTCAAGCTTGAACATTAACATTTTGTATGGAAATAGTTGTGATATAACTAGTGATACAAACTTAGGCTTTATTTTTGTCATTCCTCGAGTGTTGGTCAAATTTTTCATAATATAGTTTTAAGAAAGATATTAATGACTGCATTCCATAATCTGAAAAAAAAATGTGTGTCAACATTAAACAACTTATGTCACACTGATTGTTCTTATCTGGTTAAATAACTTTCTTATATAGTACTTGCAGTTCGAATTTCTAGCAAAGGGAAACAAATCTTGTAAAAATAAAAATCGAAATAGGACAAAAATATGAAAGATAGATTAAGAATTGGTCGAAGATTGTTACGACTTGGTTTCGTAAGGTTCAGACTTGGTCGAGTATGAATAAGATTTTTGAAATGGTTAAGAAAAGGTCGAGTACATTTTCAGACTGCAGTCGAGTAATATTGAGTACAATTACTGTTCATTTTAGACTTTTTCCAGCTTTTACATGTTTGTAGTGTATACAAAAAGTGTTTGCTACAGAACAATCTGGATCATGTGTTAATGTTATTTGTTACTGAACATTTTTTAGTCGTATATTACGGCAAAGGTTTTACTGAAACTTTAAGGACGATAAATTAGCACAGTCATCTTTTAAAACCATTATAACGAATTCCAAAATTGAAAACTGTCTTTACTAAGAGAAAATTAAATAAGGGTGAACATAATTTTAAATGTATTGTGTTGTTTTATTTGTTTCGTACTTTTATTTGATGAGTTCAAAGTATAGTTAACAGAGGGCTTACAAAATCAAAAATACTTCAGAAAAGTTCACAAATATTTGTTGTGCAGATTACTTTTCCTACGAACGTCCGGAATCCTGTGCTTACTAAATGCTGCAGAATGAGATACACGGACATTATTTGTTTTTCTTTTTTTTCTTCTTTCGACCTACATTTTTTTCATTCTAAATAGTAAATTTGTTTTTAATAAGGCGTGATAAATGTATCCTGGCGAGTATGCCAGCATCTATCATTCTTCAAAGTCATTGCAAAATGATGAGTATGTATAAACATATTTTTTATTGGGACAAAGGTTAAAGATAAAGATTGTTATAAAAGTGGTGCAGAAGCTAGGGGAATGAAGACGAAAACATGCGTTATTAGCTGCCATTTTGGTTGTAAACTCGAACTTTATATGCCCTGAACTGGTGACGGGGACATCCCTTAAATCTACTTTCGTTTTTATTTAAAGTTCATATGCAATTGATATTTAAAGATAAATTACCTGATAAATACACTTTTATTTTAATTTAGTGATATAATAGACATGTATTACCTGAACTTCCTGCGTTGGGATATCAAAACATTATTCTAAAATCGATTACACACCAAACAATTGATTATCTAAAGCAATAATAACATTTGAATTATAGATTTGCTTTTTTAAATTTTTTTCTATTTAACGAAATTATTATATTTATTTTCTTTTTTTCCCCCTTTAAATAGTATGTGTTAACTGTTCTTCATCGTAGCATATTTGATTATATTCGAAAGGTTTCAAGCAACACTTTCGATATTGTGGTCTATATAAAATTTCATTATCACACACAAACACATCAGATATTCACAAACACAAACAAATTGAAAATTGAAATAACAATACGATGGTAGCACCGATTTACTGAGTTAAGCGATTTGAAACTGATTTTTACAGTTTTTTCATATGTTGTGCTGTAACACCCCTGTCCAAGTTTACGGGGATAGAGCGCTCACAAACCTGATTTATCCCGCCACATTCTTAACATACATGTGCCTGTAATTCAGTGGTTTTCATTGGTTCAAATCTGTCATGTATGTTTTTTGTGAATTGTATTGTATAAATCCGGTCAAATGTTTTCTAGCTTTTATTGCTTAATTCACACATTTGTTATCGGGCTTTTTATGGCCGACTATACGATATGGGTTTTTCTCATTGTTGAAGGCCGTACGGGGACCTTTAATTGCTTTTATCTGGATATAAGTTTCATTGGTGGTCATATCATCTCTTAATTTTAATGTGGATAGTATTGGTATTATATCTATCTTGTGAATACTGGATTAAGAAATCAGAACAGGGTGTTCAGATTGGTCATCATCGCGTATAATACGATTTTGACACGCCTACTATGCTGTTGATTATTCATGAATTCATCATGTTCATAGATAAGAACAGCACCAGTAGCATAATAAAGGTAGAGTTGTAGATTTGTAGCGTAAATTTAGACATGTAGTTTTGAATATAATAGAAAAATAATAAAAAATAATTAGAGATATAGTTTTAAATGTTAATAAGCCACGCGAGTAAACAAGGTAAAACACTTATCTATTATGTTGGATTTCAATTGTTTTATTCTTGCTTCATGCAATCACAGTAACATTTTGATTTATTTGGACAGTTATTACAAACTTTTATATCTAGATTAGCGAGTTTTATTTATAATCCGTTGGGCGTTATTATACCTAGAAGCTAGATAAAATTATATGCCACTTTAATATGATCGACAAAACGAAATGCAATTTGCCTCAAATCTTTGCAGAAAAAAATATTATTTTTGACGGTATATAAGTCGGATGATGCATATTGTAAGGTTTTTCTTGTCCTATAACACACATTGGAGTTGCAGGATTGCACAAAGAAAGACGTCTTTATATTTAATATTTCATTTGAACAATCCTCATACCCGTCGGTGTTTTATACGACAAGTAAAACCTTACAATATGCATGGTATTTTTGTTATTTTACTTTTTATCTATAACATATAACCCTACCCCAACATTTATCATTAATAGCCCTAACCCTTTTCCTGACTATAACCCTTAAACCCTTATCCTGACTATAACTGTAACCTTTATTCAGATTATAACCCCAACCCTTATCTAGACTATAATCATAACCTTTATCCTTACTAAAATTCTAACTCTTATCTAGAAAATAACCCTTACCATGACTATAGTCCGAACCCTTATCAAAAACATAGCCCTAACTCTTATCTTGCCAGTATCTTTAAATAAAGGCAACAGTAGTATACCGGTGTTCAAAAGTCATAAATCGACTGAGAGAAAACAAATCCGGGTTACAAACTAAACCCGAGGAAAACACATCAACTATAAGAGGAAAACAAAGGAACAATAGGAACACTGAAGTGCAACAAAAACAAACGCCAACATACATAGAAACGAACTATTTGATAACAACTGCCTTATTCCTGACTTGGTACAGGACATTTAAATAAAAAAATAGTGGGTTGAACCTGGTTAAGCTAACCAATCATCCCGCTTTGATGACAATGTTGAACAATATCGCAAAAATGACAACACTACGTGACAGAAATACAGCACAAACACACGCAATAACACCCATAACAGAGAAACGCAAAAACAAATGATATAATAGTCGACATAACATGCAAACAGCAGAACAACAACGAACATCTTCCATCAACGACAGACACCACAGGACAGTGACGTACTTACGTAACGAACACGCAATCACAATACCAGTCCAAACAATTTTCATGACAATGATGGTATTGAAAGGCAATTTTATAATAATTTGGATTACAAACTATGATACATTACACATTCTTCAACCGAAACCATAACAGAAACATCAAAAATAAATACATGAATGTTGGATGTACAAAATACCGAGACACGTGGTATAGCAATGCAAATTCACACTCGGTATAACAGTCATATTCGGGAATAGATCACGTTCGGTACTTAGCAGAGAGATGACATAGATGTTAAACCACAATCTAAATCGTAGTTAAAATGACTTTAGTTAGTTTAGACACAGACACATCGTATAGATTAACCAATTCGTGATGGTGTCCATAAAATTTACGGAGTGTCATTTTTAATCTTTCCTCTTCATAACTCTGTTGGAGCAGTTTCTTCGTAAGGAGCACACTCCTGTATATGAAGTCAGTATAGTGTGAACATGCACGAGCATAACGTATCAATTGAGATATGTAAGCACCATACGACGGAGCAGAGTGTATGGTACTGCTGAGAAATGGGAAATTGATAATTGAGAAGTTGAAATCATCCCGTTTGTTATAGATTTTAGTGTGAAGTCATCCATCTGTGTCAATATTGAGGAAAAGATCAAGGTATGAAGCAGTCCTTCTTGTATCAGTAGTATCCTTAATTTCATATTCACTAGGATATAAGATGCAAATACTGACTGAAATGTGGGTTATTCAGTGATAGGACATCATCAATATATCTGAAAGTAAAATTAAAGAATTTTGCAAGGTGTTTTTTTCTTTTTGTCTTTTAGAAGGTTCTGAATGAATTCTGTTTCATACTAGTACAAAAACAAGTCGGCCAGAAGAGGTGCACAATTAGTACACATTGGGAAACCGACTGTCTATTGAAATATCAATCCTCCAACTGAACAAATATGTTGTCGATTAAAAAGTCCAGCATTTTGATAATATCATCTTCACTGTATATCCTTAACCTGACTATAGCCCAAAACTCGTTACCCAGAGTATAACCATAACCAATATCCAAACTGTAACCATAATACCTACCCTGGCTAAAACCCCGAACTCGTTACACAGAGTATAACCCTAATCTATATCCAAACTTTAACGCTAATACTTACCATGTCTTTAAACCTTGACCTGAGTATTATTTCAAACGTAATTATCATTTATATAGTCATATTTATAAATTTACAATTTTCAATTTTGTTTTTTGCATTTGGAAAAGCATATCTGAATATATTTCTCAACTTAAACAAGAGGCTCCTACGAGCCTGAACCGTTCACCTGTCAAAAATAGAAATAATAGGGAAAACCTAACTACAGTTAGGGGAAAAAAAGACTTTTAAGTACAATTCCTACTAGAAGGAGTCAGAAATTGGTTTATATCATAATGGCATTCGTATACGACCTTGTAAATATTGTATACCGATCATTTTGCTATTAACTGTTTCAACCTATCGATTATATTTTTCAAGAATAGAAGCAAATACCCCAAAAATAAGTTAAAAACCCTCTTTAAAGGGCAATAACTCTTCTAAAGATTCATCCAATGTTTGAAGACATATTGCAATTCCTATAGGTCTGGTATGATGAATATTTTTTTTATGCTTACAGTTTCTATCTAACTATTATAGTATTCAAGCCTTGAGGCAAAAACTCTAAATTTAGTAAAACAAATCGTCATGTATGGGTAATAACTCCCACAATTTATACTTGATAACAATTATGGTTTTCAAGATAAAACTTCATTTAAGGGCAACTATTCCTATAATGATAATTTTGGTGCAAACAAAAAGTAAGCAGATCTTGACATATTTATCATTTATGTACTGTCAGATGTTTTCTATTTATTATAAATTTTGAAGATTTGACAATTAATGCATTTTATCCTTATGTTTCATTTTTTAGTCACGGCCGCCATGTTATTTTACCAACTGAGAAAAACAAACTGATAATGCCATGGCAACCCTTTTATTTCATGTTTACCTTGATTGGTATAAATTACTTTTTTTAATGAAATGTAAAACTCTAATTACAGATAGGCAGAAAATGAACCAGGAAGCTCAAACTGAAGAACCAGAAACAAAAATATATGGCAAACACCATTGCAACTGTAAACGAACCGAACATTTATTCAAAGGTCAACATTCAGTATTTGTCCAAATGACATGTAAAGCATTACTATCACCAAAGTCCTTTTATATTAATTCAGCAGACATAATGAAGAGCTTCCCAATGAGCGATGAAATGCCCGTTGCTTTTTCAACACATAAAGTTCCACAACTCCTCAATGTCATACCAGAAATTTATAAAAAATTAAGGGAGCTTATTTTGATAGATATAAACCAGTCATCAAAGTTTCATGAAAACTACTCTAAGCATTTTTGAATTACTGTCCAAAAACTGGAAAACATTTTATGACTAAAATCCCAGAACTCGAATACTGAAAATATAAAATATATAAAAAAAACTTAAGGGAGCTTACGTCAAAAGCTATAAATGATTATCCAAAGATTCATGAAAATTGGTTAAAGCGTTTTGGGGTAATTATCTGACATGTTGATGACAGACGGACAGAAGGACGGATGGATAACGGTATACCTTAATATGTCTCGTAAACTGGCGTATATAAACAAACTGTATGTCGTATCTGAAACTTTTGAAAAAAAAACAACAAAGGCTTCGACAACAATTGACAATATGCCTGATTTGGAACAAGTACATTTAACTCATTTGTGGAATGATAATTTATTTCAAATATACATGATATATAATGAAAATAACATTTTTTTCTCACATATCAGATATTAACAAGAACATCAAAATCTGAAATTTAATCAAATATTCAACAACATATATTTTATTCTCCATCTGCACTTTGAGTTATGAGGTACAACAAATATTATAATACATATTGTATGTACATATGCATAGTTTTGTGAATATAGTACAATTATCTATTAAAAGTATAGAGAAGAATTTGATTGGTAACTATTCACCATTGTTTCTGAGAATTCCACCAAAAAAGCTCTACAAAGCAACTACAACTTCTCAAAGTTTGATGTTTAAAAATAGAAAATTATGCAATTTTATATTTTACACAAATTTATATTTCTTATATGTTTGATGTTATTGAATTCCTTACAAAATATATTATTATTGGAAGCACTGTTTACACACTATTATATATGTTATATTCAAGATATAACTACTAAATTAGAAATTAAAACGTGGCAGTATCAGTTCCTTAGTTTCAGAAATGTCACTGCTAAATATCTTAAATATGAATTTGAAGAAAAAAAAAAACGAAAAACGTCAGTCCATAAAACATGCAAAAAGAAATGTAGATAATTTATTTACATTGCCTTGAAAATATTATTTATTATACATTATTTGTTTATTCCAATGTTGTATAATATAAATTATATGGTTCGCTACTGACCCCTACGGATCAATAGAGGGTGAGTAAAATCCATAGTGGGTTAGACCGAAGGCCGAATATCCTACTGATTTTACTCACCCTCTATGGTCCTTAGGGGTCAGTAGTGACCCGTATAATGAATTTATCGCATACGGGACTTTTCCTGCTGCCTTTTGTAGAAAAATAAACAATGAAATGCAACAACATCAATAGATGACGTCACCATTAACAGTAGACGTGATGTCATGAACCCCCTATGAAATTTACTTACCCCCTACGGATCCATAGGGGGTCATTACGTGATGGCGTTTAGCCAATCACAACGTCATAATTTACCCGCGGTGCGATAATAATTATTATTTCCTTTGTGAGATAACAAAAGATGGATGTGTAAACTCAAAGTTAAGTCCTTCAGTTTTTGAGTGAGTCTTCCTAGTTTAGTCCTTAATAAAGTCTGTTAGAATAGCATTTATCAGCTTGTTACCATTAATTTTTATTGCATAAAATTCCTATTATGAGAAAGGGACATTCAAACTCATAATTTAAAAACAAACCGACAATGATAAAACTAATTAAAACTCGTTTTTGTAGGTCAACTTGAAATTGACCTCAAAAGAACATCCGTCTAAAACAAATAAAAAATACATCCTTTATTCATTCTATGGACATGTATGATGAAAAGTAGAGTGATAAATAACAAAAAATTAACTTTCAATAACATTTTCAAGTATGTATACAACACATTTAAGCAAATTACACAAAAATTACGGAAACATACTCAAATTTACAACACCATTATTATATTATACTTATATCATTGATGTTAACTTTTTTCAACTAATTAACATTGTATAAATGGTTATGTCACTGTTGTGCAATCTACAGGTCAACTAAACACAGTGTCCAATTATGTGTTGATTCATTGTTGTTTGATTGACGCCTAGGACATTTTTTATATAAAATTATTAATATCATTTAAACAGTGATATATCAGTCAAATTATTTATCTTTTCTTTATAGAAAACATTATTATGCTGAGAAATCGTTAAAAAGTTAGTTATGAATATGGAGCATTGCATGTCAATCAATTGTCTGCTTCAATTCACATGTACGTAACATGATTTGCAGTAACCAGCTTATTCCACAAACTGATTTGAAAAGTAAATTATCTAGATCCTTACAAATTCAGTCTTTCCTTCATTTGAGGATACAGTGGACTTGTGAAATGTCATAAGTACTAAATTTTAAAGAAGAATATCTGTATAGAAATAATTGAAGCTCAAGTAGAAAACCCCCGTCGGTCGGAAGGTCACGTTTAAGAATTGACTCTGGTCACTAGGCTACTTCTAAACAAACTATACAGTTCTAAACTGATCATATGTAAAATTTGATTTAAGGTTACAGGTCCTTTAATATCAGATGTCATGTTGTATTAAGGTAGCCTGCCAAATACTCCAAAGTCACAGTTCAGATTTTATCATTTTGAAGCCACATTACTATCCAAAATTCTACATAGTAAACAAATCATTCCCGGAAAGATAACACTACCGTTCCCTAATCAGGTTAGTTATATATATAAATTGCAAATAATGTTATTTACCGCTCAGGCTTACAATAAATTACGAACTGGCCTGTTGGAATATCTTTTAATAAACCGTAGATTGATATTTGAATACAGATTAAGACACTCAATCAAAATCACTACAATCATCAGCAGCAGTAGAAGCAGCAACATAATCATCATCTTCAAATCGAAAAACCACCAATGATGCATGTTAGTCTTGGTGTAGTGATTTATTTGAATAAAATGAATAGGTCTATATATCTTGAACATTGATATTTTTTTTTTCCTCTTATCTACAAACTTTAACACTTACAGTAACTAAGTATACATTAATATTTTGAAATATAACTGTTGATGGCATTTGATAAAAAATACTGTAACATTTGATGAAAAAAAAAAACAACAAACATAACGATAGTAGACATACCATAAAAAATAAACACATTCAGCTTATGAATGACAATTGTTGGAATGCTCTGTTATATTTTTGATCGGGAAACAATTCTGTAGAATGCACGAAAGCTTGTCTCGCTGCTTCTATGTCACCTAACAATTGAAAACATATGCCCAGCATGTAGTAAGATGTACTTTTCAACATGGGATGAGCTATAAAACGGTTGTCCTCTATAGTCAAGTGTAGATCCCGTAAGAAATTCCAACTTTGTCTGCTATTCTTTAGATGATAATGACATAGAACACGAAGGGCATGAGCAAAAACTATGGGAGGAATAATTTGTTGTACTCCCATTTGTAATTCATTCGGTTGTAACTTAGGGTGTATAAAGTACACTAAACCTAATAGTAAAAATTCCATAACTGAACAATATGCATATTCCTGAATACGTGTAAATTAAATAGTTCATGATGAATATCTGAATACTGCATGAATTGATGAAGTTTTTCCGGTGAACATTTTGATAGAGAATACTGAATAATGTAAAGAGCTGTATTGTATTGTTTTCTTTTGTAGAAATACAAAGATAGCATTAACCATCCAGATACAGCGTCATGATGTGTGTTAAGAAGAAGAGTACTTATATAAGTATTGTACTCTTTATAAGTAGATTTATTATAGGATGTATTATCCTCTGGCAGAATTCGCTCACTTTTGCAATAAAATTTTGACATATATTCTGCGTACAAGTATTTGATTTTTGAACTCTTACTTGACAATACCTTGCATAAAGTTTTTTCCAAGAGAAAATCAAAAGAAGTGCACGTAGAGTGGACAAAATACATTTGTAAGCTTAATAATCTTTCTAAACTCTTGGCATATGAATAACTTGTCTCTTCACGTATATCCGATGCCAATTCATTTAAATTCGGGACTTGATCCGACAATAGGATACATTGCCAACCGTAACTGTTAAGGATAGACAACTTATTTAAAAGTGTTTTCTGTGCTTGTCCTTGTATCTTATTCTCAAATAGATTATTCTCAGGAATAAAATAATGCGGACAAAGTGAGTATTCAACACAATATATAAGCCTCCTGAAACATCTCATGAAACAAGATATCAAGTTTTCAGGTTTCCATATTGATGAAGGCAATTCTTCGCACATCCAAAACAAAAGTGTTTTCATAAAATATGAACAAAGTAATTCTTTACAATCAATGTCTAAAGCTATAACATCTTTCAGAAGAATTTTCATAACTGCATAACATAATAATTGTGTATGTGTAAATGAATAGATAAGTAGTTTTTCAGCAACGGAAAATGATATTCGCCATTCTAATTCTTCTTGTGTAGATCCTTTCACCCCTACAGGTACAAAGAGAACCCCGTGTTTTACAATAGCCTGTTTAATATCGTATCTCGGCCATGATTTATTTGATCGTCCTATCCATTGTTTTGCTGGTGTTATCCATAATTTACAATGTAAACAGCTTGCAAAGTCATATACTCCAGCTTTATCGGACATACATGGCCCATGTATAGTCGAAAAAATGTCGGTTGCAAAATTTTGTTTAAATAAAAGATTTGAAAAGTAGAAATTACCATTGATATCATAACAGTCTTTTAAGATACTCTTGTCATTACTGTGCACTAGACGTAACTTAGCGAAACCTGGCTGTGTATCTTCCACTTCCATTGAAAAATGTATTCTATTAGCATTGAAATAAGTTTGTGCGTCTTCACAGACCTCAATCAGTTTCAATACCCCCATTAAATCTATATCACTACCTCGTGTCTGTAGTCCATCTCCGAAACTTCCACTGGTAATAAATGTCCAAGTCGTATTGCTCTGTAAATTGTCTCTAACATTATTCATCAATCTGATTGTTCTTACATGTTTCTCTGTTCCAACAACGTTCTGGCGTAGATAATGATACAAAGCTATTGATTCAGTTTGTGTCGCTGATTCTTTAAAGAAAAATTGAAGGAGTGTGTTCGCACAGTCTTAAAAATTGCCTTAAGATTTATAAATTTTTTCATCAAATCTGGCTCAAAAACCTAACATTTTGTATAAATAGTTGTGAAAAAACAAGTGATATAAACTTATGCGTCAGTTTTGTCATACCCCGAGTTTTGGTCTAATTTTTCAGGATATGGTTTTAAACATAGATATAAATGACTGCATTCTCTAATCCGAAAAAAATTGTGCGTCAACATTAAACCACATATCTTACATCGATTGTTCTTATCTGGTAAACAACTTTCTTATATAGTACCTGTTGAATGAATTTCTACACAAGGGACACAATTCTTATAAAAATAAGAATCTAAAAAGGGGAAAAAATTGTAAGGGTTCCGCGGAACCCAGTGTCTCGTCTACTTTGCTGTTAGTCGAAGGCTCAACATAAATGAGGAAAAAATTGTTACAAATTTTCTATTAGAGACTATTTTTTGATTGTAAGAAGCTTCTGACTAAGTTTTGAAAAATCCAGGATGGTTTATGAATCTACTAAATGTTTTCAAAACTTTAACTGCAGACTGTATGTAATGTTAACTGGAAGAAAAATAACTAATAATTCTTTAATGATTTGGATATTAGATAATACGTTAATATGATTGGTCGAGAGGGCTTCCGGTAGTGGATCTTGACGTTGTTTTTTTCTCTCGATAGATTATTGGTTGAATAAGATTCAGATTGTTTAAATTGTTAAGATACGGGTCGAGTATAGGTCCCGACTACAGTCGAGTAATATCAAGTAACTTCAGACCAATTCAGAATGGTCGAGTAAAAACTAGTACAGTCGAGTTCAAATACTCTCCGTGTCAGACTTTTTTCAGCTTTTACCGGTTTGTATTGTATACAAAAAAGTGTTGGTTACAGAATATTCTGAATTGTGTATTGATGTTACTAGTTACTGAACAATTTGTATCGTATTTTGCGGCAAAGGTTTTACTGAATCTTCAAGGTTCAAAATATTGACATAGTCATCGTGTTAAGACATTACATGTAATTCCAGATTTTTTTATTTTGTAGCCGATAATGTACCGTAAGACGTGATTTGTGTTACTTAAAAACCAAAGGGTCACCTTTTTTCAGTATATTACGATAAAAGAAAATTCGAGACGTCCATTTTGGCAAAACTGAAACATGTGAAACTTGTCCTTTACTGAGAGAACATTAAATACGGATAAATAAAGGCAACAGTATCATCCCGTCGTTCCATAGTCATACTAGATATTCGATTAAGCAAAAACAAATCCGGGTAACAAACTAAAACCGAGGGAAACACATTAACTATAAGAGGAAAACAACGGAACAACGGAAGCACTAACCTACAACAAAATTCAACGCCAACATACAAAGACACGGATTCTAGATAATAACTGCCATATTCCTGGTTTGGTTTTTAAACATAATTCTAAATGTTTTGTGTTGTTTTATTTGTCTCGTACTTTCAATTCTTTAAAGTATAATTAACAGATGGCTTACACAATCATATATACTGCACAAAAGTTGACAAATATTTGTTTTGCAGATAACATTTCGTTTTTATGCCTCATAATAAAAGTTTGTCACAAAAGGAGACAAAAACTATAAATGGTTCAATTCATACTTTCCAACAATCTGCAATCTTATATGACGAACACCTAACCTTAGAACGTCCGGGATCCTAAAGTAGCTGCTTGCTGTTGGATGAGATACCCAGATATTATTTGTTTTCCTTTTTTCTGTCCTTTGTCGTCTTTCGACCTACATGTTTTCTTTCCAACTAGAATATTTTTTATATAAGGCATAATACATGTGTACTGACGAGCATGTCAGCATCTATCATTCAGCAAAGTCATTACAACATGTTGCGTATATAGACATATGTTTTTTTGGGGATAAAAAGGTTTAAGCTAAAGTATGCAGTAAAGGAACCGTGGTTGGTATAGAAACCAATGGAATGAAAGGAGAAAATCAGTTATTACCTGCCATTTTGGTTGTAAACTCTAACTTTATTTACCTGGTAACGGGGACTTCCCTAATGTCTACTTTCTTTTCTATTTATAGTTCATTTAAAATTCACATTGCAAAAATAAATTACCTTACAAATACACTTCAACTTTAATTTAGTGATATAAAAGACATTTATAACCTGAACGTCCTGCGTGGGTTTTTGAAATGAATTACACACTAAATATTTGACTAGCTAAAGTAATAATACAATTTTAGCTATAGATTTACTTTTTTAAGTTAGTCTTTTTATCGAAAATATTGTACCAATTTTCTAATGTTTTCTTTCCACTAAAAGACATTTGTTAACTCTCTTCATCGTAGCATATTTGATTATTTTCAAAACTTTCGATATTGTTGTTCCTATTAAATTTCAATATCACCCACAAACACATCAAATATCCACAAACACAAACAAATTAAAAATTGAAACATAAATTATTTGCTATCGGGGCCTTTTTATAGCTGACTATACGACGTGGGTTTTTCTAATTGTTGAAGGCCGTATGTTGACCTTCAGTTGCTTTCATCTTCGTCATTTGAACTCGGATGGATATTTATTTCATTGGCGACCATACCATCTCTCTTTATTCTAATGTGGATATCATTTGTATTATATTTATCTTAATAATACTGGAATAAGAAATCAGACCAGTATATATGTACAGGTTTGTCATTATCGCGTATGGTACGATTTTGACACGCATACTACATTTTGACTAAGCGGTTGCATATTCATGAATTCAGAGATAAAGCAGCACGTGTACCCTAATAGTTGTAGATTTGTAGCGTAAAATTAGATATGTAGTTTTAAAAATAATAGAAAAATTAATAGAAAATAATTACAGAGATATTTATAGTTTTGAACGTTAATAGGCTACGCGAGTAAAACACTAATTCAGTATTTTGGAAGACCTCAATTGTTTTATTCTTGCTTCATGCAACAACAGTAAAATTTTGATTTATTTGGACAGTGATTGCTTTATATATAGATTATTGAGTTATATTTATAATGTATTCGTTGGGCATTGTTAAACCTAAATGCTAGAAAAAAGAATATGCCATTTTAATGTGATCGACAAAACGAGAAGCAATTTGCCTCAAATCTTTTCAAAACAAAATGAATTCTGAATATATATAAGTCAGATAATGCAATTTGTAAGGTTTTTCGTGTCGTAAAAAACACCTTGGAGTGTCAGAATTGCATAGCGAAAGACCTCTCTAAGGTTTGTATTTCATTTGTGTGTTTCGGTGTGATATATGACAAGAAAAAAACTTTAAATATGCATTATCAATAACATATAACATTACCGCTGACTTTAACCATAACCTTTATACTGAATAATCTAAACACTTAACCAGACAATAATCATTATCCTTACCTTACCTTAACCCTAACCCTGATCCTGACTGTAAAAATAAATACTATCAAGATTAACATTAACCCTGATCCTGACAGAAGCCCTGACCATTACCCTTACAATAGCCCTAACCCGTTACCCTGAGTATAACCATTAGCCCTATTCAAACTGTAACCCTAATCCTTACCCTGTTTATAAACCTATTATTCCAACCGTAATCATCATTAATATGGTCATATTTTGTAATTTACAGTTTACAATTATTTTTTTGTATTCGGAAACGCGTGTGTAAAAAGAATTCGCAACTTATACAAGAGGCTCTTATGAACCTGAACCCTTCTATTGTCAAATATTTGAATAATAGAGAAACACCTAACAACAAATTCGTAAAAAACATCTTTTAAGTACAATTCCTACTATAAGGAGTCAGTCAATGGTTTCTATTACAATTGCATTCGTATAGACCTTGTTGTACATGGTGTATACCGATCAGTTTTGCTGGTAATCGTTTCAACCTATATATATTGTATTTTCAAGAGGCAAATACCTGTAATAAGTAAAAACCCGTCTTTAAAGGGCGATAACTCTTCTAAAGCGTTATTCAATGTTTTCGGATGAAAAACAATTCCTGTGGGTCTGTATGATTGATAATGTTTAATATTTACAGTTTCTATCAAACTATTGTGGGAAAACACCCCAAAACTAGTAAAAAATCATCATGGAAGGTAATAACCCCTACAACGAGTCATCCGATGGTTTCAATCATATATGGGGTTCTTGTATATCTTGTTTAGCTGATAATGTTTGTTGTTCACAATTTCTACGTAACTATCATGATTTTCAATATAATAAGAAAAAGCTTGTAAATTAGTCAAAAACGCCCTTAAGGGCAATAATTCCTATAATGATAGTTTTGGTGCAATCAGAAAGTAGGCAGATCTTGACATTCTTATCACTTATGTCCTGTCAGATGTTTTCTATTTGTCATATTTTTCAAAATTTGACAATTAATGCATTTTACCCTTATGTTTCATTTGTTTTTGCTACAGCGAACCCAAATTGAGCTACGACGACGACGACGACGACGACGACGACGTCAAGTAAAGGCAACAGCCCACACTGACTACCTTAGAAGGTTAAATGTCTGTCTTAAGTAACTCTTGTTTGGTCCAGAAAAGTTACCAGATGCTGTTAATATCATATCTTAGTATAGGTAATGTTTAATAGTTTCAATGCCTGTCAATTTTCGATTCAATTGAAAAGGCAGCCATTCTATTTACACAAATCGGGTATCCTTGCTCAGATGTAAACAGTTAAACTCACACACATGCATATAACATTGTAAAAACCGAGCAAGTAAGAGTTTCATAACAATTCAGAAATAGGTCCGACATTAAAATGGGCGCATAAGAATACCTACAACTTGATTAACTTTGTTGCAGTAATTTATTTGGTTGTTTTTAAAAGTCTTCCTTAGTTGATGTTCTATTACGTTTTATCTTTTCTTTGTAATGAAAATCTATTTCAAACTTTTTTTAAATTTTGAAATGTACCAACAGTCATTGAATTTGTTAATTTCCTATTGTTAACACGAGACATCTATCAATCAGATATGGAACAAGGTCCTAAATTCAACTACAGCATCAGATATTTCATAAGTAAAGCTACAGGTGTCACCATTTAATAAAATCAGCTGTTCCTTCTTATGCACCCAAGTGCAACGGCCTTGGAAATTTTCGATTCAATTGAAATGGTAGCCAATTTATTTACACAAATCTGAAGTCTTTGCAAATAATTCACAAAAACGGAACTTTTTTAGATTTATAAATGTAAAATATAAAGAATGAAGAGCAAGGGAGCTTTAACTGAGAAATGGTCACACAGACGAAAATTTATACATCATCGCCACTTCAAACAAATCAAACATTTATTTAAAGGTCAATACTCATATAAATAAGAAGATGTGGTTTGAGTGGCAATGAGACAACTCTCCATCCAAGTCACAAATTATATAAAGTAAACAATTATAGGTCTAAGCACGGCCTTCAACACGCAGATTTGGCTCACGCCAATCAGTAAGCTGTAAAGGGCCCAAAAATGACTAGCGTAAAATAATTCAAACAGGAAAACCAACGGTCTAATCTATACAAGAGTGGACACACAGAAATGTCTGGCCTGTCGTGTATTTCTAATTGAAGTTATGTTGAAAGTAAATGCTATCAGACATACATTATAAATTTTAAGCTGTAAATAATTAGATAATGTCGATGCTGCTGATGCCTGTATGAACGCTGCTGCCAGGCCTGCTGAAGACAACTATCATAGTGTCTTCATACTACTAATTGTATAGGTTATTATCAGCTACATGAAGATATGCTGGATAACTGTGGTTAAGAGTGAAATAACTTAGTGATATACCATTGATATTGATTATAGTGATTAAAGATAGCAGTGAAGAATGAAAAAAACTAACATTGACCTATGAACCATAAAAATAAGGTCAAGGTATTATGAACCCTGCCAGACAGACAGATACGCCTAACAATCATTCCATACACCAAATATAGTTGACCTATTGCTTATATTTTCTAAGAAACAAAGTTCAGCATTAAAACTTTACATTGACCAATGAGCCATGTAAAAGGGGTTCAGGTCATATGATACCTTGCGGACAGATATAAACACCTTATAAACATTCCATACACCAAATATAGTTGACCTCTTGCTTATAGTTGAACAAAAATAGACCAAAACACCAAATTTTAACACTGAGCGATGAACCGTGAAAATCAGGTCAAGGTCAGATAAAACCTGGGAGACAGACATGTACATCCTAAAATATTTCCATACACAAAATATAGTTCACCTATTGCATATAGTATAAGAAAAAAGGACCAAAACTAAAAAAACTTAACCTTGACCACTGAACCATGAAAATGAGGTCAAGGTTAGATGACACCTGCTAGTTGGACATGTACACCTTACAATCATTCCATAATTTAAATAGAGTTGACCTATTGCTGAAAGTATTAGAAAAATAGACCAAAAACAAAAACTTGAACATTGAGTAAGGAACCTAAAAATGTGGTCAAGGTCAAATAAAACATGCCAGACTGACATGTACATCGTAAAATATTTTCATACACCAAATATAGTTGATTTATTTTATACAGTATAAGAAAAACAGACCAAAACACAAAAACTTAACTTTAACCAATGAACCATGAAACTGAGGTCAAGGTCAGATGACACCTGCCAGTTGGACATGTACACCTTACACTCATTCAATACACCAAATATAGTAGACCTATTGCATACAGTACAAGAAAAACAGACCAAAACACAAAAACTTAACTATAACCACTGAATAATGAAGATGAGGACAAGGTCAGATGACACCTGCCAGTTGGACATGTGCACCTTACAATCATTCCATACACCAAATATAGTAGACCTATTGCTTATAGTATCTGAGATATGGACTTGACCACCAAAATTTAACCTTGTTCACTGATCCATGAAATGAGGTCGAGGTCAAGTGAAAACTGTCTGACGGGCATGAGGACCTTGCAAGGTACGCACATACTAAATATAGTTATCCTATTACTCATAATAAGAGAGAAATTAAGAATACTAAAAAGCTTAACTTTTTTTTCAAGT